ATAGACCACAAAGTTACAGCAACTAATTCCCTGTCATCTGAACTCAACGCCAGGAAGAAATCAAGAAAGCCATCGAGAAATGTACTCTGCTGTATAGAATGCGAGACAGCTGCCGAAAAGATTTCTCTCCACACGGCTTTACTCCAGGCACAATCAAAAAACAGATGAAAATAAGATTCTTCTGCTTCACCGCAAATACCACAATCGTGCTCAATCTCGAGACCACGCGATTGCAGTATATCGCGAGAAGGCAATATCTCCCATATGATCCTCCACAAAATATGCTTCAGTTTAGAGGGGACATTCAATGACCAGACTGATCTCCAAACTGGTTTCAGTATTTGATCATGAGCGTGGTGCTGAGTGCCAAAGATCAACTCCCAAGCATATTTGTAAGCAGATTTAACTGAAAATTTGCCATTGTTGGTCCCAAGCCATATTAATCTATCAACTGAGCAACTTCTACTAAGGGGGATGTGTAGAATGCTCTCTGCATCTTCTGCACAGAATTGTTGACGAACATCTCCTTCCTTCTAGCAGCCGGTATTGACATCTATGAAAGCACTGACCCTATCATCCATGTCCTGTTGGATAAGAGCGGACCGTGGCCGAGGGATAGCTCCAGAAGGCAACCAGTTGTCCCTCCAGAGTCTGATGTCTTGTCCAGTGCCTATTCGCCAAGTGAAACCCAGTTTAAGAATACCAAGACCATCAACAACCCCTCGCCAGACCATAGAAGCTTTAGCTCCTACAGAAGCTCCCAATACATCTCCATTGGGAAAGTATTTAGCTCTGAGAATTTGATAGCATAAGGTGGTCCTATCCTGCATCAACCGCCAGCTTTGCTTTGCCAACATAGCTAAATTAAAAGCTCTAAAATCTCTGAAGCCTAGTCCTCCAAAGCGCTTAGGTTTACACACGAGATCCCACCGTAACCAATGGATTCGTCTTCTATCAGTGTTATCTCCCCACCAAAAATTGCTAATGATGCTATTTAAGGACAGAAGAAAATTTTGCGGAAGCTTAAAACAACCCATGCAGTATGTAGGAATAGCTTGTACAACTGCTTTAATCAAAATTTCTCGACCGGCACGAGATAGCAACTTTGTTTTCCATCCTTTGATTTTTGACCAAACTCTCTCTCGGATAGAATCAAAACAGATAGCTTTCTTTCGCCCTATAATTAAGGGGAGTCCAAGATACTTATCATCTGCAATGACTTTGGATATATTCAAAGTTTGCATCACCCCCTGCTGCACAACATTGGAAGTATTACTGCTGAAAAAAATAGAGGACTTGTCAAGATTAATTTGCTGACCGGAAACCCCCTCATATTCCTTCAAGATTTCCAACAGCTTTGTAGCTTCTTGGACAGACGCTTCTCCAAACAACAAACTGTCATCAGCAAAAAACAAATGCGATAGGCAAGGGCATCCTCGGCACAAAGTCAATCCCTTTAAATCCCCTCTTCTAATAGCCCTTGATAATAGAGCTGATAATCCTTCAGCACATAAGAGAAAAAGGAACAGGGAAAGGGGATCTCCTTGCCTTATACCCCTACTTGGAGTGAATTTCTTTGTTGGACACCCATTGATCAAGACGGAGTATTCCACAGTGCGAACACACGTCATGACACGGTTAATCCACCGCTCAGGAAAACCCATTGCTCGCATAGTGTCTTCTAAGAAATTCCATTCTACTTTATCGAAAGCCTTGCTAAGGTCAAGTTTGATAGCCATATGCCCTCTCCGGCCAACCTTTTTATTTTTCAGATGATGGATGGCTTCAATGGCTACCATGATGTTGTCATAGATTAATCTCCCAGGAACAAAAGCACTCTGATTATTTGATATAATATGTGGTAGGATCGATTTAAGCCTATTGGTTAAGACTTTGGATATAATTTTGTACAGCACATTGCAAAGACTTATGGGCCGAAAATCCTTCATAGAAGAGGGGCTTTTAACTTTCGAGATCAAAACAATATGAGTAAGGTTCACATCTCTCACCATAATCCCATTATTAAGGAAGTCCAGCGCAGCCGATATGATATCCCCTCCTATAATATGCCAGTAATTTTTATAAAAATTGGCATTCATCCCATCAGGTCCTGGGCCTTTGAAGAATGGATTTGTTTCAAGGCAACAAGAACTTCAGAACTAGTAAAGTCTCTATCAAGGTTATTTGCCATCAAAGGCGAAACTCTCCCTTGTAATGCGCTCAGGATGCTGGAATTTGGACCAGTGTATTTGGAAGTGAATAAATCTCTGAAATACTTAATGCAAAGTCCTTCTACCCCTCTTTTATCTGTTACAAGAGAGCCCCTGTCATCCAGAAGTCCAGCAATGTGATTCTTTTTGTGCCTAGCCGAAGCTCTGTTATGGAAAAAAGCAGTATTTTTGTCCCCCTCTTTTAACCATTGTACCCTTGAGCGCTGCTTCCATAAGACCTCTTCTCGTCGCTGCCAATCATTGAGTTCCTGTTCTAATGCTTCCATCCTCCCTAAACTGTTGTCTTGTGCTGAACCATTTCGAACACTCAAGAGTTCATTTTGCAACAATTTAATTCTTTCCGGTATATTGCCGAATTTGTGTTGGCTCCAGTCCATAAGGAGGGAACCACATGATGCAATTTTTGACAACACTCAGGACATGTTTGTGTCTCCTTCTACAGTCTTCCAGCCATCCTTAATTTTTCCTTCACAGTCGGGATCCTTGATCCAATAGTTCTCAAATCGAAACAGCTTAGTTCTTTTATGTTGAAAACCATTCATCGTTTTTGTTGCTATCACCAGTATTGGAGCATGATCCGATTTCAGTGCCAGCAAATGATGGGAGAAAGCACCCGGAAACATCCCCGACCATCCCGGATTCATCAAAACTCTGTCTAGTCTTTCCTTGATGATATTGTCATGCATCTTCCTTATAAAAGTAAATTGAGGACCCTTGAAACCCATTTCTTTAAAGTCGCAGAAGTTTAAAGCCTCTGCAAAAACTTCCATTTGTTTATATGGTCGCTGGTTCCCTCCTGCCTTTTCTGATTGCCGCAGAATTTCATTGAAATCACCTAAGCACAGCCACGGTTGAGAAGAGGCAGCCTTGAGTGATTTTAACAGGGTCCATGATTCCTCTCTTCGAGCAGCCTCCGGACGTCCATAGAACCCTGTGAGTCTCCATTTACCCCCACCCGGATCAACAATTTCCACATCTATGTGAGATTGGGAAAAAGTGGAAATAGTTAAACTAAAATCGTCACGCCAGAGCATAGCGAGGCCGCCCCCCCTTCCTACACAATCAACAGCAAAACACTGATCAAAACCTAGATCTGGGCGGATCGAGGTCATCTCCATCGCTGTGCGCTTTGTTTCGGAGAGGAAGATGATGCTGGGCTTATGTTGGAAACAGAGTTTCTTCAACTCTGAAATCGCAGAAGTATCTCCAAGACCTCGACAGTTCCAGGCCAAAATACGAGTCTGATCCATGGAATGGAGAGGCAGAAAACCAGGAAAAAGAAAGAGGAGGGAGGCCTTGCAAAAGCAAGGAGGGGCACCGAGGTGAGAGGCGCACGTCGGAGAAGGAGAACCCTAGCAGCGACGGCGAGGAAAAAATTTAAATTAGTACAACTTTAAAAGATAATAAAAACAACAAGATAAGGACGGAAAACATCTTAAACAAATTCAGATTCAACTACAAAATTTTATGAAATTAATGTTTTATTTTAACAAAAAAATGAAAAGTTCATCCGTTCAGAACATAAGAAAATAAAAAAGTATCAAAAAAATTTCCAGGAAATCCTGCGTGGTTGGAACTTGGAAGCAACAAGGACTGACGAGAGGCAAATAGGTCAATTAACTTGTTATTGCAGATTATTCTGTAACTTGGGTCCTTGTGACAAGCTTGTTGTTGGAGCACGAGTATGAGTGACCAAAATTTCCTGTAAAGATAACGCTTATTTGAATATCATTATTTTACTCAACAGATTGTGCTAAAATTCAACACTCCAAAAAGTTAAAACTGCTACAAGTTTGCAGATATGAAATTCTTTTGAGCTAATATGTTCTGTGCACAATCTTAAACAATGTGAATAAATGTAATCCACAAACAAAATGAATTACATGTCAAATTTTCGAGTCTACTGATATTCCTTAGATTCATTACCCTTGCATTCAAAATTTAAAGCTAGTGCAGGAACAAGGAGGTCGATAGAAGAAAATATTATCCCACTAATAATAAGCAAATTACTCTCCCTTGATACACTGTCTTAGGTGTCAAAAATTTCATGAACCCCTATTTGTCCTAAAAATGCACAATTCACCAATAGTGAATAAAGCAAGGAATAGAGGTAGAGAAGGTCAAAAGTTACAGAAATAAAGTATGGAAATACAAGTTTATTAAAATGTAAAGGAAGACTCATTCAATAGACGTCACTTTTTTTTTTTTTTTTTTATTAACAAGTCTTGGGAAGGGCAATAAGAAGACTTGGGAAGTTCCCTGGAATTTATCAGAACCGAGAATGGCAATTACTTGGAAGTTTATTGTAAGCAAAGAGTTGACTTGAAGTGGTGCCTCAAAAACATTGAGGACTTTCTGTAGCAAACTTGACTATGAATGCAATATGAAGACTTGGGAAGTTTCATCGAGTTTATGAAAACCAGGCGTATGGCAATTATTCGGAAGTTGATCGTAAGCAAAGACTTGACAAGAAGCGTTTGCCCAACAACATTGAGGACTTTCTTTAGCAGACTTTACAATGAATGTACTAGGGAGACTTGGGAAGTTCCATGAATTTTATTAGAAAAAGTATGGCAATTGGAAGATTAAAGAGACAATTCAACGCGGAAAATTCAAGCAATGTAGTAAGTGATGTATCCATTTGTACCCAAAATTCTAAAATTGATTGTTATCGTGGATGCTCTGCAAGTTACCAAGAAGTGAATCTCAAGATGGTTGGTTTTTTAGGCATCAACCTGAAAGGAAACCATACAATCTAACATAAGATGGTAACCGTTATTTGGTGTTAGGTAGAAATGTGGGAGATAAACATGGGCACCTTAAGTTTTGGATGGACAAAGCAACCTAGATTTGACAAGTGGGAAGTTTTTGAGGATCAAAACAGCGATATATGAAGAAACTGCAAAAGAGAACAGAAATCCGACATGGGTATAGTGTCGCCACATAATATTGGTGTCGACACCATATGTAAGCATCCAAAACTTCGACACGAACATAGTGTTAATACATAATTCAGGGTCGATACCATATGATAAGCATCCAAAACTCCAACACGGACGTGGTATTAACACATAATTCAGGAGTTGATACCATACGATTTGGGATGCCTTTTTGATGTTTATAAGTTTGGGGCACCTTTGTACTCTATTTATTAATAAATATGATTTTTTGCTGTTCAAAAAAATAATTATTTGGTGTTAGGTCCTTGAAAAATCCATGACTCCCAGCTTTTGGAAATTCTAACCATTTTTGCATTCAACTATCACTACAAAAAAGACCATGGACTAGTTATGTGGGAGTATAATTTACGGTCACATAATAAATTATTGAGTTTATATAAGATTTTAAATATTATCTTTTAAAATATTGAATAGAGTGAAATATATATAATCTACAAACAAATGAACCACATGTCAAATTTTCAAGTCTGATATTCCTTAGGTCCACCCTTCTCATGCATTCAAAATTTAAAGTTTGTAAAGGAACCGGGGTCGATAGAAGAAAATACTATCCTAATAATAATTAGCAAAATACTACCCCTCGATACACTGTCTCAAGTCTAAAAAATTTCATGAACCCCCACTTGTTCTAAAAGTGCGTAATTCATCAAGAGTGAATAGAGCAAGAAAGAGAGGTACAGAAGATCAAAAAGTCACATGAAATAAATTACGGAAATACAAGTTTAAAATGTAATGGAAGAAAACTTAACTCATTCAATAAACATCATTTCTTTTTTTAACATTTCTTGGGAAGGACAATAGGAAGACTT